TGCTGGATAAGAATTATATGGTTACAGACTGATTAGAATTAGTTCTTACTCTTCTTTAATATTATACTTATTTTACATTTCCCTTACTTTATATTAGCAGAAATAGTTACCATTTTTACTGCTATTTATACTTTATCTCCTAATGCTAACATTGAAATCTGTACTAATTCACAAGCTACAATTGCATCATATTATAAGATCACTATATTATATAAAGTATCTCTTTCTCTAAATTCTGCATTTAAATTTTCTTAATTTCATATTTAGATAACAATGTTGCACCTTATTGTCACCCATAATATTAAATTAAAACTCACTAAAGTTAAAGCTCATAAAAATGACCAATTTAACAATCAAGTTGACATTTTGGCAAAACAACTTACTGGTATTTTTTTAGTATGAATAACAATCATCTCAATCCTAAATACTTTATATGTTATAATAATACACTAATTATTACCCTTCTCACTTAATTATCAAATACCTATAACAAGCTTTCTGGGCTAAGACCTTTCTAACTCTTCCATAACTTACTAAATATAGTGATTTTCACATTGATTAGCAAACTTTATTTTATATTCTAAATGACTCAAAAAATGCTAAGATTATATCATTTGACGTATGTAAAAGAAAATAATTTAAACTTAAACTAATTTTACAGTTATTTTCTAATTTAAAGCAAATATTTGATATCTATAGACTTATACCTCAAACAACTGTTTTTGCTATCACTCAATAATTGAAAACTTTACACATATCTGGATTTGTCCTAATAATTCAATTGCTCTTATCAATATCATCAGAAATATAAATAGTCATTCATATCTCACTTAAAAAACCTCAATAGACCTAATAATAATATACCAATTAATTATGTGAATTAGTCTTTAATATGAGATTGTAACGCATTAAATAATAATCTTTATTTTATTGAAAAATTTTCAGATTAATCTAAACTGTTTAGAACTTTACTTTATATTATTAATAAATATTAAAATTTCAAGTTTATTTATATATAAAATTTTTAGTATTTAATAATTAATCCATTAAATAAATTGATAATAATTATAAAATTATTTATAATAAAATATATTTTAATAATAATTCAATTTTAATAAAAATAAATACTTTAAATATTTATTTTTATATATATATATATTAAACAATATTACTTTTAATAAAAATTAATATATCATTGTTTTATAATAAAGATGATGTTGCAACTAGTTACAACCAGTAATAAATAAGCATCATTATGGTTGTAACTAGTTGTAATATTAACAAAAATTAAGTTGCAACTAATTGCAATCAGTGATAAATAAGCATTATATGATTGCAACTAGTTGCATTGCTATCTTTACTTTATAATAATATAAATCTATAAAAATATTAGTATATATTATTAAATATAATATTCTGATTAGAGTTAAAAAATAAAATAGCATTTTTAATATTTGATACAAATAAATAAATGATCATTATATTATATAATAATTTGAGATATTTGCTATTATATTAGATATTTAATTAAAATAATAAATTAGAAACTTATATAATAAAACAATTAAGATAAACAAATTTTATTTTTTATTAATTTAATCGATTTTAATAAAATAAGTAAAGTTATATATCATAATGATTTACATATATTTTAAAGTTTGTAATCAGTGAATAAATTTATATTATATATTTAATATAGCATTTTCATTTTTTAATACAAAAATTTATCTATAATAAAAATTGAATATTTTAGTTATAATATTTTTTTTCACTAAGTAAACTTATTATGTATATTAAAAATATATATTTTAAATTATATGATTTTATATTTATTCAGATCATTATGGTATATAATGAATTACTAATTATCTTATTAATTTGAATAAAAATTTTATATTTATTATACAATATTTTATATATGAACTTGAACTCTCTCAATATAACTTTTTCCTAGAGGAGAATTTAATGAACATTTTTTTCAACAATAGTTTTATAAAAAATGACTACCTAATATAAAGAACTTTTTAAATTTCAATGTAATAAAATTATAAATGCTTGGAAGTGTAGTTTTAGTGAAAGAAAATAAGTGTTACATTAGCCTGCACAGAACTCAGATTTAAATCCTATAGAAAATTTATGGGATGAATTGGATAGAAAAGTTAGAAAAACATAATCACTACCAAAAAATCACGATGATTATAACAAATTTTGCAGGAAGAATGGTCAAAACTTAATGAAATATATATAAAAATTTGTTGATAACATGCCACGTTATTTTTGCAGTTATTGAAAATAAGACAATTTTACAAAATATTAATGATAAAATTATAATATATATATTTAGATGATTAATATAAAAAATTCGTGAGAGAAGGGTCCAGAAATGACGTAATTTCCTAAGAGGGATTTCCTTATTTAAAAGTAATAAAATGAGGGCAAAATCAAAATGAAGTAATTCACCTAAGTTATAAATTTAAAAAATGAGCGACATTGTGTATGCCCGATACTGTACATATAATGAAATCGTGTAGATCTTATTTAAAAAGAAAGTAAAAAAGGTATTTCATCGATGTCCCTTCGCACCCATTGATTAAAGACAAATATAATAGCCTACTTCATATCACAGGATAATAACTAATTGCAACTTTATAAGTAAAATAAATTATTATTTTCCGTTTAGGTATGAATGTATTGCCTTGTGCCAAAATATTAATAGCAATTTGCTACTGCTTGATTTCCCCAATGTCACAATTTAGTTTTGCAATAAGCTCGGCCTTTCTTTATCACTTTGCTCTAGTTTTGTGAGTCTGACAGCAGTTTCTTCCATAGCCTGTTTTACTTTCGGCCTTAACCTCGACATTCTCAGCCAGGAGCTTGGACCCTCTTTGGATTTTTATTCAAGCTTTAGCATTCTCTCAACAAAACTAATTCGGATTGTATGTTTGATAAAATTTTTATATATTTAGTTAATATATATCACGTGCGATCGAGAAGATAAACTCACACAAGATTATCTGACTTTAAGATGTTATCAGAATTTACTGCGCATTTATACAATAATTTTTTATTCTTTCGATGCATACCTATATTGGCACATTTAAAAAGATCATAACACAAAAGTAAATCTCTTTTTGATATTATTAATATAAACTTACGTCGAATTTTACAATTTTAATATTTTTTTTTAATTCACATCATTATTTTAGAAAACCATAGAAATTTTAAAAAAGCTACAGATGAAGACGATAAAGGGAATAAGAACAAGCTTATAGCTTTAGGTTATTTCATGAAAGCGTTAAAATGTATATATTTAATTAATATTAAGATTTTCTCGATTAGATGAGATAAATGAACAAATGGGAAGATTATCGAATACCTCAATCGGGATAAAATTCTAAAGCGATTTATAAGCAGCGAAAGAAAAAAATCCTCAGGTTAAGAAAGATGCTATAACAATGAATTTTTCTGTTTTTTTTTTTTTTAGAGAAATCCATAGAAATTGTAAAAAAGCTACAGATGAAGACGGTAAATGGGAATACGAACAAGCTTATAACCATTATATATGGCTTTGGAAAGCTTGAAATGTATATTCGTTTTTCCAAAATAAACTTTCCTCGACCAGATGAGAGAAAAAAAACATAAAAATGAGCTATGTGAAGAAAAATGATAAAGATGGCGAACAAAAATAATCTTTAATCCAAAGTATAAATAAATGAATTTATTCAAAAATTGAAATACTTCTGAGGTATGAACTTACGTCGTGCACGTTTGGAGTAAATTATTCGAAATTAATAAATTAATCAATAACATAGTTTAATATATGACTATTTCGTTTTATTAAAGCAAAGTCGCTGGAAATATGATTCAAAAAAAAATCTTTATATTTTTGGCGGAGATATCTTTGCGGAGTTTCTAGATCGACCTCCAGAATTAACATAATCGGGTTGGCGCAATGATTAAGATATCTTGGTTTTTATTTTCGTTCGCCATCGATAATATAAGTCAAGTTGATGCGGAAGCGGTACAGAAAAAAAAAAGATGATTATCTTTTCGTAAAGGACATTAAAATCCGTAAAATAACCGGATCAAAACGGTTAGTTAATTATATAATAAATACATAAGTTAACAATGATTAACGCAATAAAAGTTCCAAGTAAATTTGTACAACTCACTGTATGTATTTAATTGAAAGGCAAAGTTCTAATTTTCTTACTTCAACACGCACGAAAAATATCGTCTGCGAACTAGGGTTCGGTTGACTTTTTATTTAAAAAATTTAAGCAGTTAATCCATTAAATAATAATAATAATTATTGTTTTATTGATAGATATCTACAGTAATGGCCACAAAAATTACAAATGCAAACTTATTTACATAACTTTCAAAAATTTTAAAATTAAGAATAATATAACGATATTCACATAATCATGTCTTAAAATGTATTTTTAAAATCATACGAAATATATAATCTCAAAAAAAAAAAAAGCTTTTTATTTCAGACGAGAATGATAGAATAAAAAACTCAACTCTAACCACCAATCTAAACCATACTTAAGTTCCTTAAAATTTAGATTATCTATCCTATAGATTATCATGCGATATTAGCTTTACGATTAAAGCTCAACAAAGTTTTTTATTTTTAATTCTAAAAGTTCGAAAGGAACAAAAAATGCAATTCAAAAACTTAATGATTTTCGATGCTAATTTTAAAAAAGATTGAAATTCAAATACTTACTTAATGATAATACATTTAGAATGATTCTAAAAGAGAATGTCTTAAGTTTGCTTATTCAGAAAACACAAAAGGCCTTATTTCTGTATATATAATGTTTTTTTTGAAAAAAAGGTATGCAAATGACAAAAAAAAAAAATTGAATCAGAAATGGAAATCAAATGTTTTTATGTTCAATGTAATTTCTAAAGAAAAAAATATTAGAACTCTATCTTCTAGTTAATCTTTATTTGTAAAACATTACATCGACATGACATCGCAACAAACATCAAAATTCCACTTTAACTGCTACTAAATCATCAGTACCATCAATATTTTTATCTTTCCCGATTGGAATTTTACCAGAATTAAGATGATCTTTAAGATGATTTTTCAATTCTGATTTTTTACTAAATAATTTCTTGCATAAATTCCATTCACAAAGATAATTCATTTGCTGGGTTGATTTAGTTGGATAGTGTGGAATTGGATTTGCAGTTACCTTGGTTTTCGTATCAGTCAATATGGGGTAGTGTAAATTCAATCTTCTTGAAGGTACAGAAGTTATTGCAGCGGATGTGATTAAAGGACCTCCAAGCGATCTTTTACCTTGTACAAGACGTAGATGAGGTGGTAATTGTACTTTTGCATTTGCCGAAGCATTGGGTTTTTCTGCCAATTTGGAGAAATGAAGATTACGAACCGACTTTGTAATTAATGGAACATTTCTAGCTTGCACAACATTAGTACTAGATGCTATTAATCATTAAGTTTCAAATATTAGTCACATAACTTCCAAAAAAAATGGAAAGCATTTTTAAATCAAGGAACTTTACCTCCTTGCGCGAAGTTATTTTGATGAACCCGTTTTTCCGGATTGACAAGCTTTTTTGGGTTATCTCTATGTTGAAAGCTTAGTCTCTGCAATGTTGTTACCTTTTCCGCAGATTTGGATTGAACAGCGGTATTATTTGATGTAATATTATTATAATTCTTCTTATTATTATAATTGACGATACTTGGCGAATTTGAGAAAAAAGTTAATGATGATGTGGTCTGAACATTGCCATTGTTGACATTTGAGAAAGATAATGATTGGTGAGTAGTATCGTGCTTTTTAAGAATATCTCCAACCGATCGTTTTTTTATTTCAAGCATTAGTTTGGCAGTATTTTCTGCAATTGTTGAATTTTCCTCGGCCATCCTCAAGCTTGTTTCTTGCAATTTGTTTTGTAATTTCAAATTTTCAATTTGTCGGTATAACATTTCATGATCTCTATTAGACTCTCTCATCTTATTTACTTCCTGTTTGGTTTCTTTTCTCAACCTATTGATTTCTTCGTTAACATTGCTTCTTTGTTGAATTAAATCCTGCAACGAATTTTGAAGTTTTGTGATTTTACAATAATCTTCTCTCATCATTATAGCACCGTCTCTCATTAAACATGACCAATCTGCCTTCAAATTTTTATTTTCATCTCTAAGTTTGTTCAATTCTTGAGCTGACTTCTTCAAATCATCTTTAAGTGATTCTCCCTCTGTGTGCTTTCCCATGACAAGCTTTTTAATTTGAGTATATTCTGACTGTAATTTTGTAAGTTCCGTTTCAAGGTTTGTAAATTCCTTACTCTTTGTGACAAATTTATTTTGAGTTTCTAACCATTTACTATATAATTTTTGAATACTCTCATGATATTTTTTGATTACTTCGGACGATTCCGATTCAGATTGTGGTCTCCTTTCAACCTCAAGCCTGAGATGATGAACTTCTCTAGCATATTTATTTTTTTCTTTGATTAATTCATTCTTCTCTTTCTCTAAAGTATCATTCAAAGACTTTGCCTTTGCCCATTCATTCATCCATAAATCTATGTTTGATACAGTTGGTTCCTTCTAAGTAATTTAGGAAATGAATTAATAAAAATCTTAGGAAATAAGATAATCATGATGATTAAACCTACCAGTCTTTCTAAAGGCAATTGGTAGAATGGGTGATTATATGAAGAAGAAGAAGAAGAATCATCGATGTCCATTGCAGTAGATCCAGACCCATTATTTTGTGAATTCGAAGATGATTTTTCATTGGCAGTAGGTTGTTTATTAGGTGTTGAAACCTTTTGAGATGGTTGACTATCAGTAGATTGGTTGGATTGCGTAGCTTCGTCATTGGAACTTGAATTTTGCACAAATGATTTATGAAAGTAACTGGTATGTCGCTTATCAGATTGAATCTGAGCACTTGTAGTTGAAACATTACTTTTGGGAAAATTATCAACAGGAACCGGAGTTCTTATACTGGCCAACCTGTTTGCTAGTGGCAAATTTTGTTTGTATGTCGACGTGCTACTACTGGCCAACTTTCCTACGCTTGATGAGGAATTCACTTTTCCAACATTGGGAGCAACACCGGAAATGGTAAATTGAGATGGTGCCGGTGCGATTTTAGCAGCGATCGGACGAAATTTAGAAAGGCTGGATGATGTTGAATTTGCAGAACCAGAACTCGATGCATTTTTATTATTGATTCGGGAATAAGCTTGTTTTATAGTTTCTGAATTCACATGGATAGCCCCTGAATGTGTTGAGCTGGTAGGTACACTGTGTGAATTTAATGAATTACCACTAGGAAGAACTTTATTGGATTGTGTCGCCGATTCATCAGGTTGTGAAGTATCTTTTTTGTCATTACCATCATTACAAATTGTTGTTTGTAAAACTGGAGGTTCTACATTGGAGATGATATTATTCGTTTCGGGAACAGGAACAATTTCGGTTTTCTGCTTCTTTGTTGTTGAATTATCATTTGAATCTTGAACATGATCCGGACCTCGTTTATTTAGATTGAATAATGAAAGTCTACCAGATTGTGAAGGAAGGGAATATTTCTTTCCATTAATAACTTTATTTGCGGAATGATAACCGTTCATTAGAAACTTTGAATTATTAAAAACACTTGAAAGGGATTCATTATCATTATGTTCTACTATTAAAATATTACTTTTTATCGGGGTGTTACTAGCAATAATCGGTTGTATCGGGCTTATCTTGACAAGCTTAACCTTAGGGGAGAACTTGATTTTATGAAAATTGTTGGCATCTTTTTTAGGTTCTGATGATTGAGATGTATTTATGTGACAATATTTATCCAAAACTTGGTTAAGCTGATTGAAATTTATCTTATCATCAACTTCATTAATTTTATCATCTGTCTTATCTATGTTCATCACTTCGTTATCAGGCTTATCATCCAGATCTTGCACATCATTTTGTGGGGCTGCTTCTACCAAGATTTCAATTTCCTGATTCGGTTCTTCTTGTTCTTTCTCGTAACTTTGTTCCTCTTCTGTATCCTGGTTGTTGATATTATTTTTTTCTTTTTCCCAGTCAATCAACAACAATGGAGTACAATTTTCTTTTGGTTCCTATAATATTTTATAATGAAATTTGTATATAAAAAAAAAAAAAAAAGGTAAGGAAAAGAAAAAGAAAAAAAAAGAGGAAGGAAACATCCTAGAAAAATGATATTTTACCCAGCTTGAAGGCCAAGGGTTTCCATTTTTATCATGACCAAGCCACTTTATAAGGTAATACCATTTTCCATCTTCTTTCTTTTCATCCAAGATTCTTTCCGCGTCAAAATACGACTCTACTTGTTGTTTCTTTGGGGCACTTTTTCTTCTTGTCATATTTAACAATTTTTTTTTAATGCTTTGATAAAAAAAGTGTTTGCGCGAACTTTTTTTTTATTTTTATTTTTTTTTTTAAAAAAAAATTACCAAGATAAAACTAAAAAAAGGAAAACTCGAAACAAAAAAAAAGGGGGAAACAATAAAAATGTTTTTATAGACATTTAGGAATCGTGTAACGGGTGACAGATCATAGTAAATGTCATCTATTGTGTCACGATGTGATGATAAACTGATTAACACATGCGATGAATCTACCCAATTAAAAGTTTTTTTTCCTTGATTCGTAATGATCCACAATTTTTGTTATTTATGATTGGTTAAGAATCTTTACCCAATTATTTCTTTGTTGATATGATTCCGATCTTCCCTTTCTGATCATAGATACGAGAGATAAACATTTGCAGCCTTCCAATGAAATTAAGACCCTTAATCATCACCTACAGGCATTCAAAACAAAAAAAAAAAAATGTTAAAAAAAAAAAACGAGTTTGGCGTAATCGCATCTTATTACATCATTATACGCATATCCATTTTAGCCAAGTTTCAGCCTCATATGGAAACGATTATTATGGTATAGTGTTTTATCTAGAAAATCTTTAAGATATTTTGGATAAGATAATTTGCACGTAGGGAAAACCTTTAGGGAAACTTCCCGAACGTATAAAAGTCGATGAATATTAAGAAATTATCGACAGCATCGGGGACTTATAAAATGTGACGACGGGTACTGAGGCTTTCTTTCCTTTACTCATGGTTTAAAATTTCTTTGAAGTTCGACGAGGTTCCATGGGGTGAAACATGGTTCATGTGATAAATAGGGTTATTTTTATTGCCTCTTTATGGTTAAGCCTACAAGTTTGTCATGTGAGATAAACAATAGATCCATAACGTTCGTATTGTTGGTCGTGGCGCAGAAAGATTTTGGAGATCGGCACATATCATATTTCTCAACGAGAGAGAGGGATCGATCTTATAAAGACCTTGAAGGTTTTGGAGGAACCAATCCGGTGGAAACATTTTATACTTCACTTAAAAAAAATATAAATATATATATAAATAATCAAAATCATTCGGTAGTTCTTTATTAATCTCTCTCTTTTTTTTTTAATAAAAGGGATTAAGAATTGAAATATTGATTGAAGTTTTGCGATGCGATAAACTTATGCTTTTTTTGATGGCACAATTCGGTCTTTGAAAAAAGAGTGCTAAGTTTCTGTAAAATTTCAAAAATGTAGAATCTGTCTTCTTATTCGATCAAAAGAAATGAGATATAACGTTTGTAGAGCATATCCGCATATAGAAAAGTTCGTTTGCAGCCATATGAGAACTTTTAAAATTTAAGTCCCTTAAAATTTGAGAGTTAAATTGCCTGTAATCTGACATGAAAGATTCATTTGGATACAAAAAAAAAAAAAATAAATAAAAATAAAAATTTACTGAAATCATTGATTGTTTCCGTGTTCAAGAAGAATTGTTTTATATCTAAATAAACTCGATTGACTATTCTCAACATTTCTTGGAACGGAGATTTCACCTTTATACAAAAATTTTTCACACGTGAAATATTTTAACTACCTGAGAACTCCTTCATCTTTACATTATATTTTAGCTATGTTGAACTCGGACTTTTTTTAATCAAAATCAACCAATAAAGCATGAATTGAACCAAACCAATCTTGAATTAGAACATTATCAGGGAAAGTGAAATAGACCGTGTATTATTTTTTCAACATTATGGCTTAATTTATATACATCTTTCAAGGTTTTTATCACATGTATCTTATTAAAACAAGAAAAAAATTTACTGAGCAAAAAGTTCATAAATTGTTTAATTATTGATCATGAATTATATTGAAGGTTTTATTGATTAAATGATATCAAATACGATACATTACTCGTATTTGTATAAATCTCTTCATATTTCATAACAGTAAAGAAAAAAAAGTTCAAACGTCAAACATAATATTTCTCTTAAAAAACAATTGATGTTAAAAGTTATTTTTCGGTAAAGATCTTCACATTGAGCTGTACATAAAAGGGAATATTATATCTAATTTTGGGTATATTAATTTCACATTTGGATAAATTAATTTATCCCGTGATCATCTTTGAAAAATTTCGATCTTTGGATTAGATTGAATAAAAAAAATGATGATAATTAAAAAATAATAATAATTAATAATTAATAATTAACAATTAATAATAATAATAAATAATAATAAATAAAAATAATAATAATAATTAATTAATTAATTAAATGTGATAAGTTACTTATTCTTTTTTTTTTTCTTCCTTGTATAACGTTGATAAGATTAAGATCAATCAATTATTTCCTTCATAAGCAGACGCATGAGACCCTTGTTCCTCACACGTGATTTACACATGTTATGAACCTACATTCCTTTATTTTTTAGACATCGGACATGGAATGACAATGTAATGAGATTTCATGAATTGTTGTTACCTCTCCTTGGAATTTCTAAATTTGCACACGCGAAACGACTTGCGTATACCACAATACACAATGATGATCGTATTTGAATGACGTTAAAATTTTTCTTTTTTGGCGCCATTTTTGCCCCTAAAATTCATTCGAAATTACGACTATTGTGAGGTGTACTTTTCATACAACAATAATAATATAAAAAAAAAGCGCCGATTGCTCGCATAATTACGAGTTAAAAATACCGAGTTTTGCGAAATTTGATCGATTGTGTGTATCAAACCCGTTAAGGTAAATTAAATTAGTAATCACCGCATAAGATTATCCATCTTACTTTATTTGGATAGTTGATGATGATACTCCTGGTAAATGACGGATGGGTTTGTCCGGTGCCCACTGTCCTATGTTGCAAAAAAAAAAAAAAATAAATAAATTTCGAGATGATCTCTTCTATATTCAAAAAACAAGACCATTTGATTAATTTCCCTGACAAAAAATGAAATTATCATTACCAAGCCCCGCAAATGAATAAAATAAAAAAAACTCCTCACGAATTAAAAGATTATACAATATATATATATATATATATATATATACATGACCGAATTCAAAAAATTTTTATTTTATTGTTTTTTTTTGAATTTCACGGTACATATCTACTAAAACTAATTAAGAAACTGTAATTTAATTTATTTGTTTGTTAATTAAAATTTATTACCATAATTGAATTTTTTAAAGTTAGGGAGTTCATGTTTCCAATTCGCAGCCGATGATAAATTCATTACAATTTGTGACTCATAAAAAACGTTCCGAAATAAAATTTTTTTTTTTTAGTTTTCCGAATAAATCTTCTTTCTGTTTTTTTTTTCATCTCTGACATAAAAGGTTTTCCACACTAGCATCGAGCATTAATTATTACACCAGCATTTTATACATGAAGTATACCACAACAGCATATAGAATTAATATACAACATACATACAATAGCATATCAATACATGAGAGGAAAAAATTTAATTAGAACGGAAATTTTTAATTTTTAAAAAAAAAAAAATTTTTTTTTTGATAATCAAAAAAAAAAAAAAAAAAATTTTTTTTCAAAATTATATATATGATTTGATTTTACATCATTCTTACATCAGTTTTTGACTTAAAGGAACGAAACTCAAATAAAAAAAAAAAAAAAATCCTTTTATTTTTCAAAAAAATAAAAATTAAACATATCGTATTTCGAATTCGATTCTTATATTTTTGACGAAATTCCCTTCCCTCTCCATCTCTCTCTCTCTTTTTTTATTGATGAATCGATCTCTATTTTTAATCTGAACGAATGAACGATTTTATTTTTACGTCCCTTTTTTTCTTTTTAAGAAACGATTTTTCTCACTCCTTTCCTTAAAAATCATCTTCGATTTAATAAAACGACTTTAATTTTTTGTATATATCGTATCGAAACGAATTAAAAGTAAAATAGTATTATATCAAAACGTATTACATTAATTTCTTAATATTCTTTTTTAAATCCAAAAGTAATCACCTTTATTATCCCTAATTCTTTCCATTCTTTAATCTCCTTTTTATATATCTTTAAGATCATGACAAAACAAAAGAGCATATTAAATCAATCATTAACGATCTTAACAACAATAGCGGCCTCTTTAACCCCTTCAGTACTTTCTCCACTTATCTCCTCACTTTCATCCTCCCCAACTTCACCAACGACAAAACTTCCAAAGGAGCCACCGCCAACAAAGCAAACAAAAAAACATCACCGTAAACTTTCATTATTGTATAAACAAATTGAGCACTTGGAACTAAAATTATTATTCAAGAAAGCTTTCATCGAAAGGGAATTATTATGTAAATTGGAATTGGCTAGAAAGATTAAAGAAGACGCGAGCGAATTCGAATTAAATAATTTGGTCGAATTAAATAACATTAGGTCGAGATTGGTCTTCTTACAAACCAGGGATAGACAACAAATAACCAAAGATACCAAGAAGAAAATTGAAAAAAATAAATTGCCAAAGAAGAATTCTTCTATCAAGAAGAGTAATTATAAAACAACTTCTTGTTCTCCTTCCAACAATTCTCTTTCGATTCAAGATTACAAAAATTCTTCTTCCTTCAACGTCAATGTTTCTTCGAATAATAAAAATTTAATTTTGGAAAATTTGTCAATAAATGAATTATTAAATTTATTAGATCAAAAAGAAAACGAAATGAATTCCGCTATCCAATCATCTCAAAATCAAATTGAAGAATTATTAAAAGATGCTTATGATTATTTAGAAGAAGAAGAATATTTAAAATTAGATATACATGATATCAAATTAGAAATCGACGATTTGGAAACAATGTGCATCTAATTATAAATTGCGCTAAAAAAAAAAAAAAAAAAAAAAAATACATTTACGGGGTAATTTGGCAAAATCTTGTTAATGGCAAAAGATTCGCATGTTTGAATTGATATAATGATCAACATATGATATGTAAAGTATGTACAAAATTTTTATGAGGAATGTAATTATATTAATGTATTAATAATATGAAATTAAGGATCTTTAAGGTTTAATAATATGTCTGTTTAAACTACAATTTTATTCAAAACTCATCTATTATAATGCTTTATAAAAAAAACAAAAAAAAAAAAAAAAAGAAAATTATTTCTTATATGAGTTGTCTCTAAATAAACTCAACGAAATTTAACTCTATATATGTATATATATACTGTATGCCTCTATTTTACTAATATTTTAAAATAAAAAAAATAATCCAACACTTTATTACCAATAAAAAAAAAGATTTATTTACCCTTAACGTTAAACTTAATAAAATTAATTATGCTGGCCTCCTGATCCATTTTCCTATTTTACTACAAGCATATGTTGTGCTCTTACTTAATCCAGCTGTTAATATTCCTTTTAAACTTTGTGATAATACCGGTTTAAATATAATGTCTCTCAATCCTTAATAAATTCATTATAAAAATTAAAAACGTTTACAATAATAAACCAATATGAAATTATTTTATTTTATTTTATTTGTTTTTTTTTTTTTTTAGAAATAAAAATAAATAAAAATAAAAAATAGATAAAGAAAAAAAAAAAAAAATGTTAATAAAAGATTAAATTAAATAAATCCGGAGCAAAGTGTTTTAACTTACCAGTATTTATATAATCGACATGATTTCCTGAATTAGCAATACTCTTACAAGCGTCAAAATCATCTAAATAAATAAGTAAATAAATAACTTAAAATACTTATAATTTAATAACTTTTCCTTCGATTGATTCAAAATCTCACCTGACGGCCAATGGATTCCTTTCCCAGCCAATACCATTCTATGTTCCTCTTGTACTTTATACTTTAATGTTCTAGGTAATTTCTGTATCATTTGTGCTCTTGCCTTTGGACTATCATCTTGCTATTTATTACAAAAGTTATTTAATAAAAAATCCTTAAATCTATTTATCAGCTAAAAAATTATACTCTTTTTACCTGCAACTTCCCATTTGCGACAAAATCAACGATAGGTAATCCTTGAATTAATCCTCCATATAATAAATTAAAATTATTCATTTGTCTTGATACAACATTCCTTATCTTATTGGGATTTTCTCCGAAATATTTACGAAAATCACCTAAACATAAATCATCATCACAATTTATTACTTTACTAAAAAAAAAAAAAATTCCATGACAACTTTCATTTGTAAATAAATACCTTTAAATGATATGGAAGAGATTGTTAGATAAAGTTCTTCTTCCGTAAAATCTTTTGGTAATAAAAGCAAGGCAGTACGTAATGCACTTGCTAAATTTACTTGTTGTGCTAATCTGACCCTTGCATCATCGCTTAATATTTTAACTGGTTTATGCATTCTACCTGCTAAATAAAGTGTTTCCCAATTTAATAAGTCTTTACACATTTTATCTATTGAAACGACCCCATATTTAATCAACTAAGGGATATAAAGGGGTATTAATTTAATTATTTGATAATATTATTTGAAAAAGTTTCAATTGTACATACCGTATCTTCGACTTTGACATATGGATTATAATAAATACCCGCACCAAATTTTTCTTGTAAAATAGTTATAGCACCGCTACCTAAAGTGCCCATAAAACTATAATGATTTCTATTTTGATTAATGTTTAATGAATGCCAATGTTGTGGATGTCCAACTGCAAATATAAAATCAATCATGGGTTTATTCTTAAAATAAAATAAAATAAAATAAATAAATAAATTCACAAGCAATATAATAATTTTTTTAATAAATATTTAATGTTTTATCACCTTTTTATCGTAACCTTGTTGCGGAAATACGCCACTACCATAAGCAATGACGTATCGGATAGGTGCTTGAAAATTATGCAATAATTTTTTTAAACGTTCCTTAAATTCATCATCAATTGGTAAATTTTGATTCTTTCCAAATTTTGGATGTAATCTCAACGAATTATTTGTTGTTATCCTAATTTGTTTTGAGGTACTTGCAACCCTTAACCTGGGGGGTGGTGGTGGTGGTGGTGAATTAGTAGTCGGGCTAGAAGAGGAAGTTGATTCAGTTGCTGGTGTCGCGCTTAAATTTAGTGTTTTATGTAGTGAACGAAACGAACTTGGACTTTTAGTTTTATTTATTGCTCGAAATGTTGAGACTCGAAAAGTCATCGTAGTTGATACAACAAAGAAACAAAATTGTCGGTTGAAAATCACATTTAAACACTTGTTTATATTTATATGCTATGTATCACAAGTGATGGGAACATTTTGTTGTACGTGTTCCCCGACTCTCAAATCAGAACCTAGAACCTGATCCTCATCAAACAAATCAATTTATTTTGAAACCAGGTACTGTTTTACTAGCCTTTTCGGGAAATTTGTTGGACATCACATGATCAGTCACAAAAAAAATATTACAACTTTTTTACATAATTAGTCCGGGAAGTCTATATAATTCTATGCTGGATATGCTGGATGTCCGCTCCCCCCCCCCCGATTGACGTAAATCTATTATGGGTGTCCGCACGCTCGAATTCGAGTCGTTTCGTGATTGGTCCCTTAACAATGGTTTCCTAGCCGGAACGAAGAGAAAGACTATCGAGTCGATTGCACAAAAATCTCGATAAAAGCTACCGGAGTGAAGTTAAGATTTGCTCCGGACTTAACAAGTTATGAAAAAAGTATTAAAGTAAATAAACGATTAGGAATTCGTAATAGGGTTAGTCCGAATCTTTAAATTTAACTTTCTGCATATTCTTTATTGATATATTTAATTGGATATAAATACTATTTATTTTATATTTATTATTCGTTTAGGACAAGCCTTAGCATTCCTTATACTTTATTCCATTATTGTTTCGATTCCGAATTAAATAAAAATCAAAATTTTTTTTTTAATTTGAGAATTTGAAAATTTTGATTGGTCACCAAGAAGATTTAATAATTAAACAAGTTTCAATATTGAGGGCCCATCACAATCTTTTTCCGTCTTGAATTATTGATCAAAAAATTTTCAACTAGGAGTTTTCCACTTCACAAACCATAAACATCGGAAACATCATTGCCAATTTAGCTTAGTCAACCAATTCTCTACTATTTACGTAATTAAATGATAGTCATAGTTTCATCACAACTATTACTCAAATAAGTACACTATTCAATAAACATACTCGTATTTTGACACGTGATTGTACTAAAATTTCGACTTAATCATCTACACGTTTGCAAATATGAAAAAAAATTCAGTTAGAAAAGGCGTCTAAAAATAAAGTTCATCTCAAAATATATAACCTCCTTTTACTTACCATACATATGAGAAGAAAACCAAATTTTTTCAAAGATTTTTGATTCATCATCAATTTCCAACATTATATACTGTTTATCAGAACTCGTCGTAATGTTACCCTTTTTCTCAAATATATCATCATCGTTGTTAACATTACATTCTTTTTCGTTTCCGTTTCCTTTAACGTCAGAAGCCTTTTCTTCTTCTTTATTGCTCCCTTCTGCTTCATCGTCATCACGAGCATCACAATAAGGTTTTCTTTCATTTCCGATAATCCAATAAACTGTACCGGGCGGATATAATTTTTCATTTTGCATATGTTTATAAACATCTTGTCGTGCTCTCCAAAAGAAATTCTCAAACTCTTCTTTATCTTTTCTACCTTCTTCGGTATTTGCAAAAAACGTTCTACTTTGAGTAATCTAGTACTTTACTTATAATTTTACTTGCCGTTTCCTGTCCTTCTTCCCCACCTTTTTGTTTATTAGATCCCAAAAATCTTACAAATCTCTTACATGTCCTAACGATAATCGACAGACTAGATCGGTACCATATACTCATCGTACCCCTTAGACTAATATAATACTTTCGGTCGTATGATCTCTTATTATAAAGAAGATGGTTGATAATTACTTGGATTTTTTGGTGTTTTGTGTGTGAGAATCAATTATACTATCAAATGGTAAATCGGTATTAGACGCGAACGAAGATCTATGTAATCTACCACGTTCCTTCCACCTCTGTGATTTAATTGGGAACTTTGGGAAAAGTATTTTATCAATAATAGCGATTTTAAAATCATAAGCGCAAATACCAAATTTTGAATATCTTTTTAAATTATGAAGTAAAGGAAAATAACTTTTCATCTTCGGTTTGAAATTCATATTCTTCCAAATAAGGATTACTTAATCTCCAGTAGCATCTAAATAAATGTCACTTAAACGTTTAGATTTTTCATCCGACATACTAAATCTAAAACCGGGTATTTCTTCTTTTGGTGTCAATTCACCTATAACTATATATTTGATTTATTTGATATAATCACCAATTCTTCATCCCCTTCATCTTCAAGTAACAAATATTCTAATTCATCATAAATGTTTTCTTTCATATCTTCAGTCTCAGCTAAAGCCTTGCCGCATCCGTGGTACCGAACAAGGTGTCAATTATGGTCATCGATTCATTTGTAGTGCCAAAAGCGAATTGTGCCGTATCAGTCGCAACTCCAAACTAACTAATGCAACTTGTCCGGTTGATGTAATAGAGTCGTTGATGTATCAATAAGTCTAGGATTAAAAAAAATATGCAAATCTTTTGTTATAAAGGATCAAATTAGAAGGGAATATGTAAGAGAGTGATAGATAACAAGATTTATTAAAAATTTTTAAGAAATTTTTTTTAGATGACTTACCCGCATTTACCATCCCTTGATATAGTTTGAACCAATCTATCCGATATTACACCGGTAACAGTTTTCGCAATACCCAAACCAGCCCTCATAGATAATTTTGCGGTTTCCAAGGAAAATCCTGTAATAAGACTTGCCAAATCTAAATCAGCTCAAGAAGCTGTTGTCATTCTATTTATAGTTACTGCAAGATCCGAATCTTTACGAAGTATAAGTGAACGTTCTATATTATTGCTACTAGCTGAAGACGATTCTGATTCTTTTTTCAGTATCATCTGGATGTTTGTTCACAGATTGAGAACGTCTTCTACGATTAACGGGCATCAAAAGATTTGGAAAGTCCTGAGGTTGAAATTGTAAGAACCTTTCCTCTTGAGTAGGTAAGCTCATGCGTGAAATAACGTTATTAGCCGAAACAGTATCTGTTTTATGCGACTCCGAAAATCACCTAAACATAAATCATCATCACAATTTATTACTTTACTAAAAAAAAAAAAAAAAATTCCATGACAACTTTCATTTGTAAATAAATACCATTGAATGATATGGAAGATATTGTTAATAAAGTTCTTCTTCCGTAAAATCTTTTGGTAATAGAAGCAAGGACTTGCTAAATTTACTTGTTGTGCTAATCTGACCCTTGCATCATCGCTTAATATTTTAATTGGTTTATGCATTCTACCAGCTAAAATAAAGTGATTCCCAATTTAATAAGTCCTTACACATTTTATCTATTGAAACGACCCCATATTTAATCAACTAAGGGATATAAAGGGGTATTAATTTAATTATTTGATAATATCATTTGAAAAAGTTTCAAGTGTACATACCGTATCTTCGATTTTGACATATGGATTGTAATAATACCGGCACCAAATTTTTCTTGTAAAATAGTTATAGCACCGCTACCTAAAGTAGCCATACAACTATAATGATTTCTATTTGATTAATGTTTAATGAATGCCAATGTTGTGGATGTCCAACTGTAAATATAAAATCAATCATGGGAAATAAAATAAAATAAATAAATAAATAAATAAAGACACGAAAAATATAATAATTTAATAAAATCTTTTAATGCAATATCACCTTTTTATCGTAACCTTGTTGCGGAAATACGCCACTATGACGTATCGGATAGGTGCTTGAAAATTATGCAATAATCTTTTTAAACGTTCCTTAAATTCATCATCAATTGGTAAATTTTGATTCTTAAAATTTTGATGTAATCTCAACGAATTATTTGTTGTATCCTAATTTGTTTGAGGTACTTACAACCCCTAACTTGGGGGTGGTGGTGGTGGTTGTGAATTAGTAGTCGGGCTAGAAGAGGAAGAAGTTTATTCAGTTGCTGGTGTCGCGCTTAAATTTAGTGTTTTATGTAGTTAACGAAACAAACTTGACTTTTGGTTATATTTATTGCTCGAAATGTTAAGACTCGAAAAGTCATCGTAGTTGATTCAACAAAGAAACAAAATTATCGGTTGAAAATCACATATTTATATGCTATTTATATGCTATGTATCACAAGTGATGGAAACATTTTGTTGTACGTGTTCCCCGACTCTCGAATCAGAGGCCTAGAACCTGATCCTTTATCATTGTATTTGTTAAACGTGAACTTTAGGTACTGTTTTACTAAAGCATAGTCTAATTAGGTTTATTCTGGGTGACACGAAAATATCCCCGCTCGAAATTTGAGTCGTTTCGTGATTGGTCCCTTAACAATGGTTTCCTAGCCCGAAGTGAGTCGATTGCACAAAAATCTCAATAAAAGCAAATACCAGTGTAATGTTTTTTAGTTAAGATTGCTCCGGACTTAACAACATATTATAGATTAGGAATTCGTCATAGGGTTAATCCGAATATTTAAAGTTAACTTTCTGCATATTCTTTATTGTTATATTTAATTGGATATAAATACTATTTCTTTTATATTTATTATTCGTTTTAGGACAAGCCTTAGCATTCCTTATACTTTATTCCATTATTGTTTCGATTCCGAATTAAATAAAATTTTTTTGAGAATTTGAAAATTTTTGATCTAAACTTACAAATAACATAACAATCTTTTTCTGTCTTGAATTATTGATCAAAAATCATTTTCTCATACAAACATCATTGCAAATTTAGTTTAGTCAACCGATACTCTACTATTTTCGTAACTAAATGATAGGGTCATAGTTTCATCACAAATGACACGTGATTGTACTAAAAATTAGACTTAACAATCTTTCATTATGATCGCGTTGGAATAGCAATTTTACGCCCGAAACAAGTTAAAATTTCAGTTCGATCGTTTGTTTTTATTGCGTTCACTTTCAACGATAAATCGAATTCTTCCGCTCCGTTAGCAGATATCAATTTTTTTGCAAAAATCGCTTCGGGACTTAACAACTGTCTCCGTTTCTTAGTATAATTTAATTACATGCAAAAAAATTCCTTCAAAGAAAATAAATCATATCACTAGTCGAGAAAAATTAATTTATATCAAGATAAAATATGTGTATACACAAATTTCATTTTTAATAACAAAATAAAACAATAATTAAAATACAGAGTCATTAATGTATATTTATGGAAAAAGAGATGATATTTTTTTCTCTTGATAGTAAAATGTATAAGTTACAATTATGTTACAACTTCCTCAATACGCTTTCTACAAAATATGAAAAAAAATTCAGTTAGGAAAGGCGTCTAAAAATAAAGTTCATCTCATAATATATAACCTCCTTTTACTTACCATACATATGAGGGAGATGATCAAACATCATATGGGAAGAAAACCAAATTTCTTCAAAAATTTTTGAAACATCATCAATTTCCAACATTATATACTGTTTGCCAGAACTCGTCGTAATGTTACCCTTTTTCTCAAATATATCATCATCGTTGTTAACATTACATTCTTTTTCGTTTCCGTTTCCTTTAACGTCAGAAGCCTTTTCTTCTTCTTTATTGCTCCCTTCTGCTTCATCGTCATCACGAGCATCACAATAAGGTTTTCTTTCATTTCCGATAATCCAATAAACTGTACCGGGCGGATATAATTTTTCATTTTGCATATGTTTATAAACATCTTGTCGTGCTCTCCAAAAGAAATTCTCAAACTCTTCTTTATCTTTTCTACCTTCTTCGGTATTTGCAAAAAACGTTCGACTTTGATAATCTAGTACTTTTCTTATAATTTTACTTGCCGTTTCCTGTCCTTCTTCCCCACCTTTTTGTTTATTAGATCCCAAAAATCTTACCATATTCCTTAAATCTCTTACATGTCCTAACGATAATCGACAGACTACATCGTTACCATATGCTACTGAAGTTACCAATGGACGTACCCGTTTTGATAACTCGGCGGACATTACACATGGTGTCGCAAAAGCGTATGCGTGTACTCTACGACCACGTGGAAGACGTGACCATACTGTCGTTTGACGCGTCGTAGGCGAAGCCAACAGCAATGCCAATAAACTTGCAACACCTATGATGAAATGAGAGTTAAAATTCGTGAAGATAATTGTGAAATTATTTAGAAAAGGATTTCGAGCGAGCGTAAATGGAATGGAATGTGCTCTAAATTGAAGAATTACTTACCAGCACCAAGGGAATGACCAACCAACACCAAACCATAACCTTCATTAGCTTCTAATTCCCTTTTCAAAACTTCATAAACACCGGTTTTTCCGGGTTCAGCAAGACTTTTTGCAACTTGAAACATTCCTTTATGTACTTTATGTTTAGTTTCAATGCCACGTTGTACATCTTCGGGTAATTGAAACTCTTCATACTCACAAGTAAGGTCAACAATTAAATCATGTATACTCATCGTACCTCTTAGAGCTAATATAATACTTTCGGTCGTATGATCTCTTATTATGAAATAAGATGGTTGATAATTACTTGGATTTTTTGGTGTCTTTGTGTGTGATGAATCAACTATACTATCAAATGGTAAATCGGTATTAGACGCGAATGAAAATCTATGTAATCTACCACGTTCCTTCCACCTCTGTGATTTAATTGGGAATCTTGGGAAAGGTATTTTATCAATAATAGCGGTTTTAAAATCATAAGCGCTACTACCAAATTTTGAATATCTTTTTAAATTATGAAGTAAGGAAAATAACTTTTCATCTTCGGTTTGAAATTCATATTCTTCCAAATAAGGATTACTTAATCTTTTAGTAGCATCTAAATAAATGTCACTTAAACGTTTAGATTTTTCATCCGACATACTAAATCTAAACCCAGGTATTTCTTCTTTTGGTGTCAATTCACCTATAACTATATTATTTGATTTATTTGATATAATCACCATTTCTTCATCCCCTTCATCTTCAAGTAACAAATATTCTAATTCATCATAAATGTTTTCTTTCATATCTTCAGTCTCAG